AGTTTTTGCCTTTTTGCTGTTTTGCTTGATCGTAGTCTGATGTCTTCTGGTATGGACCGCTGTAGTCTATTGGATCGTGTTGATTTTTCATAGATGGTCGTAGTCTGGGCGTATGGTTTCATGTTATTCGCTTCGGTTGTATTCCTTATAGTGGCGCTCGTCTGGGGTGATTCGTCGGGCGAGGACAGAGTCTCCTTTTGACTCGACTTCATTTTCCTGTATTTTTGCGATTTCTGGTCATTTTATCCCTAGACTTTCATCATCCATCTGAAACTACTCGCCTATTACCAGATGATATTCATAGGTCCTACGAAATCATATGCGCACAGAGACTCGGTGATAGTGAGCTTCAGCCAAAGAAGTTTGCGTTCATCGGAAGGACTGGAATCCAATACTAGGTGCGTGGTGATGCATCGGTGGAGGATGGAATTTTGTTTTCTCATCGCTCGACTTTCCTTGATTATTGCTGTTTTTTCATCCTGGCATCGCTCATCATTTTTCATCAATAATCGCATTAGCATGCGCGCATGCTGTTCGTAGATGACTTGGAACTAAAAATCTCGTTTCCTGTAGATGGACTATCCTCGACTCGGACCGCTTCTTTGTTTTTTTCATGGAAAATACTGTTAGCGTGCGCGTACGCTATTATCTCCCCGATAGTGACTTTTGATCATGTTCCTTCGTCATGGATGGTTCCCCTTGATGGGTCGCGACCCTCCATTTAGCTAGGAGGGGTGTCATGACTTTCGGATCGAACACTGTGCGACTGTTGCCACTGTTGTGTCTGACGCGACGTAGGCTTGGTTACCACAGACACTGACGCGACAGCGCGACAATACTGACGCGACGTAGGCTTAGTTACCACAGACACTGACGCGACAGCGCGACAATACTGACGCGACGTAGGCTTAGTTACCACAGACACTGACGCGACATAGGCTTAGTTCCTACAGACACTGACGCGACAGCGCGACAATACTGACGCGACATAGGCTTAGTTCCTACTGATACTGACGCGACTGCGCGACTGATGTCAACGCGACGTCGCGCGGTAGTAAGCCCCATACTACTCGTGACATATATTTAGGTAAACCAATGTCGCGCCAAATGTCGCGCAGTTTCCATAGTGAATGTCCCAATGTCGTATGGTCCTATGGTCGTGCGGTGTCTGTAGTCAGCGAGCGTATTCATCTTGCAGAATGAGATGGTGGTGCGTGCTGTCGTGATCCTTATCTTTTCTTTCAGAAATGATGTTAATGCGCGCGTATGCTATTATCTCTGTTTTCGTGACTATCGTGATTCTTATTCTTTCTTTCTGAATCGTCGTTAATGCGCGTGTATGCTATTATCTCTGTTTTGGTGATGATCGTGATTCTTATTTTTCTTTGTGAATCTTTGCTAGCATACGTGCGTGTTATTATCGTCTTTCTTGATGTCGTGGTCCGACTCGTGTTCCCTCGATTTTCCTTGTCGCATCTCTTGATTGTTGCTGTCGTAGTCTTGCGTGTCGTATCGTGTCCTGCGGTATTGCATCTCATCGTATCGCTTCTGTTGTTAAGATACGAGACACCGAGACAATACGTTCCTGCTGACCGAAGCTAGTTAACCAAGCCGAGTCGGTTCTAACAAAGCCGAGACAGTCCTAACCGGGGGGGCGGTGGTTTTCCGTCCTGTCGTATTTCCTTTACTTTTGCTGTTTTGCCTTCTATCGTAGTCTGGCTGCGCGTCCGTCTAGTCTCTCCTTGATTTTGCTTATTTTTGTATCGTAGTCTGGCTGTGCGTCCTTCTGGTCTTTCCTTGACTTTGCTTGATTTTTGCTGTTTTATTTCCTATCGTAGTCTGGCCGTGCGTCCGTCTATTCTTTCCTTGACTTTGCTTGTTTATTTCCTATCGTAGTCTGGCTGTGCGTCCGTCTAGTCTTTCCCTTTCCTTGACTTTGCTTGATTTTTGCTGTTTTATTTCCTATCGTAGTCTGGCTTTGCGTCTGTCTCATATTTCCTTGATTTTGCTTGTTTTCTTGTTTTATTGCTGTCGTAGTCTCGGTCATCGTGGTCCTTCTCTGGGGCGATGCTTCGGAGTGATGCGAAATTTCATTTCTAGTAGCCTTGGATGGGTGGGCGGATCGCATCTGGTATCTTCTTGACTGAATTTAGTTTGTGCTGAAATTCCTGTTTTTTTGACATTAGCGCATGCGTATGATGATTCTCTTGTCATGACCTTTGATGAGAGATGATCTCGTTCGTAGTCTATCGGATCGTGTTGATTTTTCCTTGACGGTCGTGGTCTGGGCGTTCCCCTCGGACAGAATCTTGACTTCATTTTGCTTGATCTTCGCTGTCTCTTATTTCGTAGTCTTTGCTTGTGGTGGCGCTCGTCTGGGGTGATGCGTCGGGCGAGGACAGAGTCTCGTTTTGACTCGACTTCGCTTTGCTTTATTTTTGCTATTTCTGATGATTTTATCGCTTGACTTTCCTTGATTTCGTAGTCTCCCTTCGTGGTGTTGCGTCGGGCGAGGACAGAGTCTCGTTTTGACTCCACTTCATTTTGCTCTATCTACGTGATTTTTTGTGATCTATCCCTTGACTTTCCTTGATTTCGTAGTCTCCCTTGTGGTGTTGCGTCGGGCGAGGACAGAACCTCGTTTCGACTTGACTTCATTTTGATTGATTTTTCTTATTTTTTGTGATTTGATCCCTTGACTTCCCTCGAATATTCTGGCTGTGGTCTTGCTCTGCCGTGGCTTTGACTGATTTCGTAGTCTCCCTCCTGGTGATGCCAAGAAACGAGACACCGAGACAATACGTTCCTGCTGACCGAAGCTGGCTAACTAAACCGAGACGGTTCTAACAAAGCCGAGACGGTTCTAACCGGGGGGGCGGTGTTTTTCTGTCCTGTAGTCTTTGCTTTAGTTTTTGCCTTTTTGCTGTTTTGCTTGATCGTAGTCTGATGTCTTCTGGTATGGACCGCTGTAGTCTATTGGATCGTGTTGATTTTTCATAGATGGTCGTAGTCTGGGCGTATGGTTTCATGTTATTCGCTTCGGTTGTATTCCTTATAGTGGCGCTCGTCTGGGGTGATTCGTCGGGCGAGGACAGAGTCTCCTTTTGACTCGACTTCATTTTCCTGTATTTTTGCGATTTCTGGTCATTTTATCCCTAGACTTTCATCATCCATCTGAAACTACTCGCCTATTACCAGATGATATTCATAGGTCCTACGAAATCATATGCGCACAGAGACTCGGTGATAGTGAGCTTCAGCCAAAGAAGTTTGCGTTCATCGGAAGGACTGGAATCCAATACTAGGTGCGTGGTGATGCATCGGTGGAGGATGGAATTTTGTTTTCTCATCGCTCGACTTTCCTTGATTATTGCTGTTTTTTCATCCTGGCATCGCTCATCATTTTTCATCAATAATCGCATTAGCATGCGCGCATGCTGTTCGTAGATGACTTGGAACTAAAAATCTCGTTTCCTGTAGATGGACTATCCTCGACTCGGACCGCTTCTTTGTTTTTTTCATGGAAAATACTGTTAGCGTGCGCGTACGCTATTATCTCCCCGATAGTGACTTTTGATCATGTTCCTTCGTCATGGATGGTTCCCCTTGATGGGTCGCGACCCTCCATTTAGCTAGGAGGGGTGTCATGACTTTCGGATCGAACACTGTGCGACTGTTGCCACTGTTGTGTCTGACGCGACGTAGGCTTGGTTACCACAGACACTGACGCGACAGCGCGACAATACTGACGCGACGTAGGCTTAGTTACCACAGACACTGACGCGACAGCGCGACAATACTGACGCGACGTAGGCTTAGTTACCACAGACACTGACGCGACATAGGCTTAGTTCCTACAGACACTGACGCGACAGCGCGACAATACTGACGCGACATAGGCTTAGTTCCTACTGATACTGACGCGACTGCGCGACTGATGTCAACGCGACGTCGCGCGGTAGTAAGCCCCATACTACTCGTGACATATATTTAGGGTCTTTCCGAGATTGAATACAACGTGAGGTTTATGTAAGTTGCAAGGTCTCTGCGACATGCGCTGACTGATAGCTTCCTTTCCAGCTTTGTCGCAGACCGCAAAGCTCTTCCGACTGACACAAACAAGCTGATGCTGCTGGCAACGTCTATTACAACGAGAAATACACCGGTACGGTGGTGGATGGTGGTGGATCGACAACCCCTCGGAGGAGTACGAGCAAGTGAGATCAACGACAAAGCTGGGAGGATCAGCCCCTTCTACCGGTTGGTTTCGGCGAGAAGCACGAAGGAGAAACTTCATGGGGCTGGAGGACTTCCAATGCCCGCCGAACTTGATTTGAGATAATTGGCATCAGAACAACGACGCTAGGAATCGACGCTGTATCGATTGAAGAATTGCGTCGTTACAGGACGAATTTTAAAGCACCCTGAGGAACGAGGAAGAACACCAGAGCAGCAACAATCTTGCCTCATTGCGCCGTCATCGCTCTAAGCTAGTAAGCTCAGTTGTGGCGCGCACTAGATTTTTGGAACCTGGTCGTGCCATGCTTTTGCTGAAGCACGCGATTTTCAGGCGGTCATTTCAATTGAACAACTTCAAATTCACGCTTGATGCCAGACGTCGGATTGATATAGAACAAAACTGTACATTCAGTATTGCTACAATCTGAACGCAGGCAAGTAGGGCTAGAAGTATTGATTTGAAAAGGACGTTCAAGGGAGAGCTAATAAGAACTCATGCATCTTGGCACTTCGACCAGTACTCTCCATGGGCTATGCGATTCAAATGATTGGGCTGTAAGGTATATGGCTTTGGAACTTTGGTATAGTTAAACGAGTCAGTGACACAATCTCCGCTAGTACGTACTAGGACGTAGGTCTAGAATGGATATATATATAATTGTCAGGATACATACGTAGTGGATGGCAAATGATGATGCAAGTACAACAATGCGGAAGAGAAATGAAAAAAAAGTACAAAAGGGACTAGAGGATAGCAAATATCAGTCTCTTGTACCCTCTGAAGCTGCAACCCCCATGATCGCACGAAGTTGTGCAAGTTCAACCTGCATCTGCCAAATCTGGTCGGCGTCATGTCGTTGCCCCGCACGAAGTTGGTCGATCTCATTTTGTTGCTCAGCACGAAGTCGGTCAATTTCGTTTTGTCGCTCAGCACGACCCTGCTCCACTCCCTGCTGTAAAACCTGCAAGGAAAAATGACCCTCGATAAAAGAAGACCATGTTTGTTGAAAAATAGCCCACCTGTGCTAGTTCAGCTTCGTGACGCCGTTTAACCTGCTCGACCTTTATCAATACCCTTTGCCACTCTGACTCGTAAGCATTGCACACAGCCTGGACACTTAGGTCCGAGGGTCCTACTGTAAACCCGCCATAACGAGCACGTGAATTGTGGTTGTTAAGATTGCAGAATTCTTGATTTATGGGGAAAAGTGCTTTCAGACTCCTCCATACAGTGTCCGAGAACCAGAAGCATTGACTGTCAATGAGATCATACACTGGGGCCTGTTGATGTACAAGAAACAGGACAGTAGAAACTTCAAGCGCAGAAGGTGCGGAAGATGGAGAAAATCGGAGTGTGCATAGTGTTGTGTAAGGTCCGTGGCTCTGGATGAGGCGTGGCTTTGCGTCATGAGGGGAGCCAACCATGGATACAGAGTCGAGGGCGGGGCTAGGTTCGGATGATGAATGTGAGACGAGTCCAGGGAACTGTTTGGAGGAATTGTCGTCTTGCATGCGTAACTTGAAGGTGCGGTCTACGCAGATCACAGCTTCAGCAGTGGAACCATCTATCCAATGTCCGAAAAACAAAATGAGGAACTCATGTCGCGCTGCATTCGAACACTTGCAAAATTCGATGCGACGCAACGAGCATTTCAGATAAAGATTCTCTTGACCCCCATCCCAGTGATCTGCCATCAAGGACCACCATTCTGTCACAGGGGTGGCGATGTTCCCATCAGGTGGGTTGAACCGTAGTTGAGGGAGTTGAGCAGGAGGCTCTGACATGAAAGGACGAATGAGTGAAGCTAGGAAACGGCGACCAATGCTGGAGCAATTTCCTCGGCCTTGCTTTAAGTACATCGCAAGTTGATAAGGGTTTCAAACACGTTGCGTCTACTAGTAGCCTCGATGTCAGATGTACATTGATCACCGGACCGCTACTTAGTACTTAGTAAGCGCTAAGCAAGGGCAAGAATTCTAGCACAGCCACTACATCAGAGGTTCGAGGAATTTGGCCCTACCTCGAGCTTTGCACTGACTGACGGTCTGTGAGAGACTAATTTGCGTGGTATATTCAAGCAGCACATCAAGAATGTATGTGCATCTGAGGGATTCGAGGAGACAGGGAAATCCGCAGGACACTTCTTTGGCGTCATTCGCAACTAGTACGTATCCAGCAGGCCTACGACTTAGAAAACGGCGTACATATTCTTCTGGTCCGTCCTTACTCGTGCTGATCGCCGGGAGTGGGATGTATGTACTATGTAGCACGCAGCATTCTCAGTCATTTTATCCTTGGTATGTCAAAAGTAAAACGGTCAACTCTTGCTGATTTCAATCTGTTGGCCAGAATCAGAGAACTCCCGGGCCAGGGAGTTTGCACAAGGCAACGAATCCGAGTCTGACAGTGAGAAGAGTCCGCATGATGGGATAGAAGGTCACCGTATCGTCTTCTCATTCTAAGATGTTCAAGCTAGTAGAGTGCCAGACGTCTCAGAATCGAGGCGCGACTCAAACATCAACAGCAAAGACCTAGATACTAAAAGAATTGGCCAGCACGACGTTAGGAAAAAAGGAGAACGACAAGATATCAAACGAGCAAGCGACTCGGACGGCAGGCCGCAGCTTCGTCATGTCCTTGCCCATGACAAATTTAAGGGTGTGAGCATATCACGTGATGGTCAAATGAATACTCGGCGGAAAATGGGCAAGGGGTCCCCTTGCCATGACGAAGCTGCCGAGCTGCGGACTCGAATAAGCACTCCCTAGCGGAAAAAGTTGGAATGAATAGAAGCGGTTGTATGCATGCTCCAGAAGTTTCCCATGTACAGCAAGTGTGCGGTAGCAAGGAATAATAGTATGATCGCTTGGCACGGTAGGATCTTCCTTGTTTAGAACAGGTAGGTGCTTCGTAGCATGCAAGCCCACCTGTTTCGCGTTGGTTTGTGGATAAAAACCATGATAGGTTTGCACCTTTTTGCACGCCGAGGCACGCTCTTGAAATGACGTGGCAGCTTGATCGACCTCAATTCCTTCAAACTCGGGAAACGAATAATCTATTCGATGTAAATTTATGTTATTCAATACATAAGATTGCTCCGTACACTTGGGGTAGCTTTGCTCATGCAGAAATCGGGCCTGAGAAGAGGTCCGGTAGTCTCCTCGTTCCGTTCGGAATGGTTGGAGCGGCCCGTCTGAAAGGTGCTGTTCGTTGTAAGATTGTGCATACGTGCCACGTGCCCTAAAAGACAACCAATGAATATCTGCATGAAAACATAGTCCAACCCATACCTGTGTCCAAGGGTACTGTTCCCCATCGCGTTCATATCCGCTTCCCGTCCAGTATTCGGGGTAGCACCACTCCCAAAGAGCAACTTGGGGGACTCAATAACAGGATAATACCTTAAACGAAATCATACATAGTCTGCCCACATTCGAATGGTGAACTGAAGGAAACCACGTCAGTAATGCAGACGGGTAATTTGCACTTATTCACTCACGGAAAAATATTGGATCGAAACCAGCCTATGTACAGATGAGCACCAAAATCATTGCAGATGGTCAGAAGGAATTGCTCGCATGGTCTCCATTCCCACCCTAACTCATCGCTGGGGTAAGCATATGTCAAAGTTGGAACAAATGTATTCCACCCACGAGCAATGGATGAACGGTGTATTGCACACCTTCAAGCGACCCACGGTTGATGAAATTTATATCTCCCTTTGATTCCGCGGTATGATTAGAGAACTCGTCCCAGCCGTCAGCATATCAATATATATATAATACTGACAGAAACTAGGATGTACGCTATCGCGAAAATTTCGTCATCACTGAACGTAAAGAGTTGGGCGACTCTGCGTCTCAGATCATTTGCTCCGGCTTTAACGTCCTGACAAGTGCAAAATCAGCACCAGCCTCACGCAACGTGTCTCCATAGATACTCACTTTTGTAACAAGTCCATGCGGCTACCTTCAGGATCCAGTGTAGTAGAAGCGTGGCGGTATGTCCTATGCCACCTGAAGAAATACACCACTCGTCCTGTCTACAGACCACATTTCAGCAAGATCAGTGGTCCGGAAAGGAAAAGGTGATGTTACCGGGTCATTCTTCTCGTCGCTAAAGAGGGAGACCGTTCTCGGCTACATCCTTACCGGCCCAGTCCAAGTATCTATATGCAATGTAAAGGGCTATATCAGCGTCGGGATTGACTTATCGCGCACGGAAAATGCAGTTCCTTTGCAGTTTCAATCTATATTCCATTCTCATTTGGGTTATCAGCTTCAACGTCGTGAACCAATTTTTCAACGATGTTCCTAATTTATTGCTGTAATCCAATAGAACTGAATTGAATGACGCATTAGGCATGATCATCTATTGAACATACCTCAATAGCATATGGGCAGTGCCAGGTGGGAAACACAAGAGCGCCATGGCTGAAGAACGGTTTCAAATCAAAGAAGCGAGAGAAATGTATGTCAACTTACTTGCAATAACCTGTCACACAATATTGTCAGGATATGGGAAACGACGGTAGAAACGACGGCCATACCTCCAATTATAGAAGGAACAGGATTGGTATCTTTCTTGTCAGTGGCGCTACAGTCAGCTGGACGTCCTTGTTGCTGTCGCCAGCCCGTTCAACGTAGGGCTTGCCGTGAATCGACGCAATTTCCATGAAGGTAGCTGCAGGCTCTTCCACAACTTTGGGAGTATCGGAACGCTGCTGAATCGTTTTAAAAGCAAGGACGAACGATCCAAATTGGTAGGGACGGTCCTTCTCCAGCGTCTGGATAGGTAAGTGATCAAACATGCCTCCAGTGCCCTTGCGGCCGATATCACGGGATAGTAGTATTCATTATCGGAGTAGATCAGAGAGCAGCGAGAGATCAGGCGTGACCAGCTGCATTTATACGTACAACAGGCGTGCAGACAGTGCCACCTTGCGCGGAGCTGATCAGCGACTCTAACAGTTGACTGATTAACGCAGTTGATGCGAAGACCTACGTAGGCGCTGAAAGTGTATACCGACACCTGCATTCCATAAAGAATGAAGTCCAATCAATGTGGTAAGCGATGAAGAATGGAATGGGACCTACCCTTAGTGCCATTCGCCAAAATGCAGATGTGAATGACGGCAGAACCTTGCTTGTAATGAATTAACTCAAGTCACATAGTAACAAACTTGATTGAATCGAACTCCTTGACCGCATCTGCCAACGCTCGCTTCATCCCCGAATCACGGTCGGCAAGATCGCGCGCGATGGCGAAGAAATTTTTTTCATGGCAACGATCTGCTTCTCTGCGCTGATCGAAACAGAAACATGAACCAAGGCCTCCCGATTCCTTGAACCAGTTGGCGATTGTGTGCGTGATGGCTGATTTGCCCTTGCCCGCAGGGCCAGATAGCCACAGCACCCGTTTGGCAGCATCTCCGCTGCCGTTGATCCAGTCCGTGATCTGGGAAAGAATCTCCGTGCGCGTCCCCGGTAGGCACTTTTTCATCGTATCCAGTCCTACGTCCTTCGCATAAGCGATATCCCCGAGATCCAGGGTATCGCCTGAAACGGTGTGAGAGAACTTAAAGACAGAACCGTGTCAGAATCCTTACCCGTACGTTGGACGAAGACGGCCACGTCCCGATCGACTTGGTCCCGGAGTTGTTGCATGAGAGAAATGCTCAATGATATGACCCAAACCGGGCGCAGTGACTGACAGCAAATCACCAACCGGAAATTGACGGCTTACAGGCAAACAGTCTCGAGATACCCCATAATACCCAAAATACTTGCGTAAAACGCACGACGATACAACCAAATGTCCATCATTGGATAGCTCTTGATCGGACACTACGAAAGCGACAGGACGAGCGAAAGAATCTAAATGGGGATGCGACGATGAAGATGCGCAAGCCATGATGTCTATTATGTATCAGAACTGCGTACTAGGAAACGAAAGAGAGAGAGGGCGTAACAACAAACAAACATCAACAAATAATATAAAGCATCCGGATCGACACATTGCCTCCACCGAAACTAATAGTACCCTTTACAGGGTCCTAGCTAGAATTTACTAGATATTAGTATGTGCACACCAAATGGCTCATCTCCATGAGCATTTGAAGATGGACGCCCTGATTTCTACTGATTTATGTAAGGCATACGGTGATGCATGTGATGTTCTAGAAATCGTTGAACGTGCAGGGCAACAGTGAATCTTACGTCATCCAGTACTTCGCCACTGTGCTTTTACAGTACTTACCTCAAACTTGTCCTTCTTGAAGGTTCTGAAGATGCGATGGAGCGTAAGAACTGCGAGCTGAGACAACGTCAGTACTGTTGTGCAAACATGTATGAGAAACCAGTATGCAAAACATTTGTCATGAAACCCAACCCGTGCTGACCTTGCTTGACATGGCAGTCTACGCGATTTTCGCCTTCAAACTAGCCATTTTTCCTCGGACAGAAATGAGCATATTGCTCGCGCTTCTTGCGCATTCAAATTCAAGTCTATTGAATCTGGTCGCCTCCTTCGTGCAGAGATTGCATGAGCGGACCACAGCCTCGACCAGTTAACAGATAGCCTTGCCAAAGTGAGAAGAGACTGCGAGAACAATACGTGTCTCACCCTTGCTCGCATCTATTGGTCTAAGCGATCTAGAGCGCGACCGTTTCCGTCCCGTCCGAGAGACCCTTGGTCAGCGCAAACACACACTTCAAGCTGCACGCCTCCTTCCACCCCAATCACAAACGCTTACCAAGGAATCTCAGGATCTCTCTGTGTTGAGTCAAACCATTGCTAGAGCACGCTCAGGCCTTGTACAGGAGCTAGTAGAGGTATTTCACGTTGTCGAAGTTCGGGGACGACCTGCAGTGGGCGGGTGGCCAGGCGCAAGAGGAGAATGGACTGTTGGCGGACTGGTTCTTCCAGTACCGGGAGATGTTAGATGTACGTTACAATTACTCACTATGCCAAGAATGTGATCACATAGGACAAACCATGGGATATCCACCGGATCACATCAACGCCGTGATAACGCATACCATTCACTTTCTGGGATTTCTTACTTTCTACCTAAGCCTCAAACCCCCTTTTGAAGTTTCGTGGTCTTGCAGAAGGTTCGGCGTCGGTATGCCTTGAATCGAAGCAGGATGAGGGACTGCCTAGTTGGGGATCGTCCCAGCGACTTCTCAAACAGTATAAGGCCCTTGCGCATCTCAAATAGCGCCTATTTATAATTTTATACTCGTGGTTACCAATTGCATATCTGATCATCAAGAACGAGAACCGGGCGTTTAGCTATGAGTACTGGTGAGCTGTCTGGTGTTACAACGAAGGCTGCATGCGCTGTATCTGTAGCGGACGCCATGTCACAGAATAACGGCAGAAATTTGAATTTAAGGAGTGGAACGTTGCGAAGAGATTTAGAGACGGCTGCGGCAGAACTGACACAATTCTGCCAAATCAAACATCGTGCCCATGAGCACATGGAGGGTATAAAAGCTAGTTATCGACCTACAGCGTTCCCCCATCCTCGGAGATATCATTTGAGATCTCTTTCAGGAGATTCCATATCACCTATCAATTTGACCTTCCCTCGGAAGAGACTTCCGCACACCTAACCTTTTGATAGAGTATATGATCTCCCGATATGCCCTAAGATGGAATTATGTTATTACTACATGTCTGAAAATTTGGTTACCTTGTTGGGTTGGGAAAAGTCTAGAGCCACCTCCAGCCATCCAGCGTTGGACCTTTTCCCTGGGATGAGTCGCTTGGCGCCCTCTGGGCACTGAAGGATGTACCTCTTGGGAGGAAGCTTTTCCGTGCCACGACCGCGGCCACAACCCTTGTAGGAACAGACAAAAATAGACTTGTCCAAGTCACGACTGAAATTCCATTTGCTTATGCAGCCGCATTGCGGGCATTGGAGTGGAAGCGGTGATCCCCATGGACGAGCTGTAGCGTGGGACCATGCATATCGGGTGCATTGCAGCGTTGCTGCGCCGTTGGTTTCAGATCTTGTCATAAGAATTATGTCTGTGTGCATTCCCAGTCGGTATGAGTGACCGAGAATCTCGGGGAATGCTTCACGGAGGGGAAAACCTTCGATGAGGACGTGCTCAGCAAAAGCGACTACCAAATGACATGTGAATGACGGTTGGAAGTGCGGGGCTGTGAATGCAATTGCAGATGAAAGTTTGGAGTTGAGAACAGACAGACGCAGATCGCGAAATGATTCGGTATTATTGACGATGGCTCCGCAGCCCATGAAGAACATCGTCGTGTCTTTAGCGCGTGTGATTGCGTCCTGCCACGGCTCGAAGAGAACGTTCAAGAACTGACAGGGAAAATATTGAGCGTACGATTGGTTGAACAAGAGGAAGCTTACCTCAGGAACAGAAGCAGAGACGTAGCCGCTTTTGTCTCCCTTCTTACGGCCAATGAACGGATCACCGCGGTCATCGTCTGTATGGGTCGTAATCACGATACATACGGACTTGTAATAGTCCTGTTCGACGACGTCCTTGACGAGCTCCATGCATCGTTCGTTGTAACCTTTGACTTTCGAAGAAGTGCCTAGATCAAAGACTACGTCGAGCTTGCGGAGACCACCATATGGAAAATACGGCGCCAAAAATTGGTGGACGATGTCAACCGGGCTCCCAGTAGTCACGTGGTCAACCAGTTTAAAGTGGATAATAAGGATGTGCGAGGCAGATATCTCGGAACGCTTGGACGTCTCTAATTGCACACAAACAGGCAGAAAGAACGGGAGAACGGGCTGTGCATCCCTGAAAAATCCCTGAAGTATATTGAGTAAGAGACTGGGGATATGATGTAAGAATACTCGCATAGTACGGTGTCTGGTCGTTTAATTTCTTCATCAACGCTGTGTGACAAAGGACGCAGCGAAATTTGACATCCATTTTTGTCAATTCCCCGAGGTAATTTGAAGGAGCATCAATGCAACGAGTGCAAATGACGCGTGGGCACTCGTCGCAAGTGAAGATGACAAGGTTTTCACTGCCGTCTCGACAGAGGACACAGAACTGCGTAGACACGTTAGTTAGAATACGTTGAGGTCATCATAAACGTCATGTACATCATTTTTCACCTCGTGTGGTGAAGATACATCGACATGAGCGCGTAGTACTGTCTGCGCTGGTATTCTGATCTTCAGCTTTCCAGGATCCATGATTGACACGCGACCTTGAGCCTTCCCGCCATTAGATCTACGAGCCGTTTGCTTAGTCCGGGCCATGGATCGAGTTAGTGCTAACTGAAAACTTTCAGACTTCGATACAGACTCGAGACCCAGTCAGCAACAGTGTCAATGTAGGTCAATGTTTAGTACTGAGTGCTTTTGTCGAGCGTTTTACGACAGTTTTAGCGTCACGTGTGGATTACGTGACCTTCGAGATTATCACTGCGAAGGATTGCACGGTTTGTCGGTTGGTTCACTCGGCGCAGGCGGTCGAGCGGCGTCTGTAGCGAACGCTAAACGCAATCATGGCGAGTTTTCTTGGCGATGAGGCTCCCTACCTGACATTCTATGTAACCATCTAGAACCGCATTCTTTGTGCAGCTTGTTTCAAGAGCTAAAGAAACGGTGCTGTCATCAAGTTTGTATTTTTTAAATTTTCGACGGATCGTGTACTGATAGTACGCCGTCCTAGCGTAACATGGAAGGATATCACATTCATTGACGCGACGTTCCCTATTTACGTGAGCCAAAGGTATGTTTAGATCCTTAAATCTACTGGGACCAAAGTGTGAACTTAATGTTTCACGTATAATTGTGTCTCTTCCAACTTAACTTATCATAGGACGGCCCGCATCCGAGCTTCTCATCCGCCACGAGACTCGCATTGGAAACCTCCTGTTCGATCACTTTGTGGGCGTAATTAACGAGTAGGTTACCACTTTCTTCTGTCATCTATTCACCTTGTATCACCGACCCTTGCTAGTAACGGCTTTCTTTTCCTTTTCCGAAGCATTAATTAAAAATTGCCAGGTACTACGCGTCATGTGCAACAGGTAAGGAAAGGGTTATTCTGACCTGTATCCTGACACGGTTTTGTCTCCAAATTTCGTTGCCAAACCCCATTCTAACCTAATTTCATAGCGACCAACGTCGTTGTGAAGAACGTCGTTGTGCGCACACTCAGTGGTACTCCCGTTGCTGCAATATGCAATTCCTCCACGGTACGCGCTGCCTTGGAGTGAGTGGTTACGCGAGAATGCTGATCTCGGAGTGAGATTGGGTTCGTATGCTCGAACGGTATACGTCACCACGCAGGCCAGTTTGCAACACGTCACGTGCACGAGTTCTTTACACTTAGGATCCAGTTCAAATTTCAAAGACTCTTGGATTCATTAACTGAGCGGTCGGCTTCATTATTCATTTTTGTGTGAGAACCATCCTAGTCAGTTTATTAGCAGCGAGAGCCTACCAAAATTCCAGGCTTTCAGGAGCGTGCGACTATCCTTCCAGAAAAGGAAGTTTCGCCACTAACCCTCCGATTCGGCTCTTCAGTAAACGACCACCACTTACCTTCTTATACTCGGCACTGGAGCAGTTGCAGACGCACTGGCCACGGGCATCAAGCAGACGGGTGAGTGCCTGGCGTTGATTCGAGGCGCGCCCCTTCCTCCACTTTCTTGAGGATGTTTCTTTGGCACTTGTCAGAGGCTGGTTGTGAGCCTCACGCCGTGGCGACGTTGTGAAGCTCGGTACGGCCGTTTGCCCCGAAGCTGAGCGACCACCGCGCGGACCAAGGTCACGCAGCTCGGCAGTCGCGCGGGCTTGGTGCGGCCGCTTGCCCCCAAGGTGAGCGCGCTGCTTGGCCTCGAGCGCTGCGCTTGGCTGTCGCAGAAGCTCGGTACGGCCGTTCGCCCCGAAGCTACCTGCGAGGCCTTTTGCGCTTGCCCCTCGTTGTCAAATTTTATTTGGCCTATTTGAAGCCCTCCCTTACCTTGAAGCCTCTGACGAACTTAGGTGTAGTGAATTGAGATGGTCGCAGGTTTGACTGCTGAATGCGGTTCAGAGGCCACGCGTGAGTAGCCGCGCTGAGTTGTTTCTTCACTCACAACTTTCCCGATGCCAACAGGGCTTGCCGTAGAGGCCGTGGTGAGTCGCTGGTGGGTTAGGTCCTCGGCCCTGATGCCTGCAGCTCATGGATGATTGCAATCGACAGCTTCCCACCGCTTCAGGACGGCGTGGCTCCGAAGGCTGGCATACAGGGATTCTCTACTGAGGGTATGTCCCTCGAGCAGGTAGCCCTCTTGCGCCATGAGTCGAATCAAGATCAGAACCGCGACCCAGAAGTAGAGGAGCTTTTGAAGGGCGCAGTGCACGGCGGCCTCAAGTCAGAGGTGCCTCGCACATCGGATGCGTACGAAGGGACGGGGTGAGCCATCCCTGCACGCCCCTGCCTTCAAACTCACAAGGCTTCCTCAGACCAATGAAGCGATCGTTTGACAACCGATTCCCGCGGGGTGCCACCCCTGCAAAGAAGCTAAAGCTTGAGGGCGCTGCTGACCCCTCAAGTAAGGCCCTTGCCTCGGGGTCCAAGCCTGCGGACGCCCCGCGTGAGCGTACCAAGTCCCAGGCTAAGGTGAAGAGGGATGCGAGGCGTCGTGAGCTACAGCTTCAGAGCCGCGCTCGCAAGGCTGAGGAGCTCAAGTCCAAAGGCGGCCTGGATGCGCTCACCTTTCGCACCTCCAGCACTGGCTGGCAGGGCACGAACTACGGATCCACGAAGGAAGGTAAGGAGCTCATAGCCCAGTGGGAGGACTACAGCATTCTTCTACGCCTAAAGGACTTTGATCGAGTTCCCTACTGTGGGTGGGTGCTTCATCTCCTTCTTCCCTCAGCCTCTGAGCCCGCGCACTCTAGCTTGAAGACCCGCATCAGGGACTCGCGAGGGCGGCTGTGGCTGGTGCGCACCTTTGTCGGCGAGCGTATTGAGGCGCTCCTCCCGGCATTTGAAAAGCAGGCCGCAGCGTTTGTAAGCACCGTTGAAACCGACGGGGGTGGCTTTACAGAGGCTGAGATGGAGGAGAATTCAAGAGGATCTCATTGGTGTAGCATATGTGGGCACGACAGGAATTCCAAACGGGTAAGCTTCAAGACGCTTATGACCTAAGCTCTAACTCTAAGCCTTAAATAGGTGCCCACCCTCGCAGCCTGGCACTCCTCAAATGCTGAGGCTGTTGACGCACTTTGGAAGCCTGACGGCGCCATGTTTCAGATAAGGCAAGCCTTGCACTCCGTCCCACTGCCTGAGCCTCACCCCTCCTCCAGTGCCATTATGAACCGAGTGTTTCAGGCCGAGTTTCCCCTGCTAGCAAAGAGATACAGGGACTGCTCACGAGCCCTGGGCATCAGCCCTCTTTATGGTTATTTTTTTAGCTTCTGCCTTAATTCTGCAAGGGCAGGGGTTGAGAGAGTTCACTGCAGTCCCCACGTGGACTGGAAGAACATCGCAATAGGCGTTTGCGTTGTCTTTGTATACGGTAAGCTTCTACCTCAGTCAGCTCTTTAGTTCTGATTTCAGGCAACCTAGGCAAGTTCAACAGCAAAGAGCGCTCCTGGCTTGTGATATGGGAGGCCGGTTTGATCTTGGAGATGCCGGCAGGTGTTTTTGTCATGTACCCCTCCTCCCTCTTCTTTCACTTTAACGTGGACATTTGTGGTAGGCGGTTTACCCTGCTAGGTGCAGGCTTTTGCTAATACCTTTGTCATCAGACGTTAAGCTGGTGTGCACAGATGGTAGGCTTCCTACCCCAGAAAATTCTTCTTTATTAGATGGAGGGAATGGAAGAGGGTCGTGCGTTTGGTTTAACCAATCAAGCATGTTTCAGACTGCCGAGCTAGGCTTTGCAACTATTGCACAGGCTAGGGAGGCAGGAGTCCCTTGTAACTCCGATTCTTCCTCTCTTATTAGCCAAGGACTTTTTCCATTAGCTTGAAGTTATAAGGTTACCAATCCCTATCCCACGAAATTCTCGCCTGGAAGCTTTCAAATATTTCATCGCATCGCTCAAAATCGCGAGCTTCCCTATGTGTAAGCAAAGCACTATCAATTAGACCTTCGCGCGAAAGTCACTTCCGCACACCTGATAGGCTGTCTCTCCCCAGTGCCCACCCACCAACCGTCGTTGTATTCTTGCTATTTCAGGCGCACCATCATGCGGTTTTTTCTTGTATGTCACGTTAACTCTGAACGTAGGTGATTCTATAGCTAGAGACCTGCATCATGGGGCACCTAATAACGTTGGCTACGTGAGCGCTTTGTCATATCTGCCGTATCTTCATATTTACCTACATCTTTCCAGATGGTGCGTTGTAGTGACCTCGATCCCAACTAGCACACACTAAACCGCTGGAAAGTTCATTAAACCAGTGGGCGTTAGATTTTCAGGTAATGTTCTTCAGATCACCGCGTATCGTTATATGCGTTAGGGAAACTATGAACGTATCATTTAAAGCATTGCGATCGCAAAGGAGCGCGGTGCTACTCTGAGAGTTGGACTAGAGCTGGAAATTCCGTCAGTACTCGTGCACTGTGATAGCGCGTGTAATTAAGATCTCCCACAATAGTGGATACGGCTGCTACGATCATTTCCTTGAAGGTACAAACACACACATAAACATGACACTCCTGATAACCTAGCACAGGGGACACCATCCTTCATTCCTGGGAGGTACTGGCCAAGATCTCGGCCGGCGACGATGCCATGGGACTTATCTGTGATGTTGGAATGTACTGCGACCTCAGTTCAGAGCCCATGGCGGATCTGGCGCAGAGAATTTGGCGCTGCAGAACATCCATGAATTGGAATCTACATGTTCATCGATGACTGCTGTCAGGCACGGTTACGGATGCTCCTTGCTTATCTCTTCGCTCAACTACTTCCTTGGGTGCGAGGCAGCGGGGTGCACTCCTCGTCCTTGGCAGTGCGAACGTTGATGACAGGTATGTCGACTGGCTGGAATAGTGACAATTGACTGACTTAGGGTTCAGTCTCCACGGATATTTCACAAAATACGATTGTTCAGCAGGTCAGCCTATCTCGAAAGAAATGCCAACTGAACTAACGTTAATACCAGCTGATATCAATCCTATTGGGGGCATCAGTAAGACTGATCTCAACAAGTTCATTGCCTACGCTCGGGATGCGTTTGAAATTCCCATCTTGAACGAGTTAGTACAGCTGGGTTACTAGGATCGGCACTTTTTCCTGATATTCTGCAGTTTTTTGATCGCCATACCGACCGCTGAGCTAGAGCCAATTTCAGAGACATGTGTCCAAGCGGATGAGGTGAATATCCACTCGAAAATGTCTTCTCAATGGTGCTGATCACTCGATAGGTGGACATGGGCATGGCGTATGATGAACTATCAGTCTTTAGTCGCTTCCGCAAAGTGGAGAAGTGTGGACCATACGGCATGTTCACGAAGCTGGTGCACGAGTGGGGCTTATTCCTGTCTCCCGTTCAAGTATGTCATCATTCAAGGTTAAGTGCAATCCGCTGATTACGTCTTCTAGATCGTAGAGAAAGTCGAGCATTTCTTCTTTGAATATGCGCGCAACTGTCATAAGATGACAACTCTGACGCCGGCGTACCATGCAGTAGGTATATCCATCTTCACAGACTGATATAAGACTGACGTTGTCGTAGGAATCCTACAGCCCAAATAACAACAGTATGTTACGCTCAAAACTCCACATCACAAGTTGCCCAGACTAATCTGCGTCCTTTTCTCTATCCCTCAAGGTTCCCGTGACAGTTTAAGAAGATAGATGAAGTAGCTGCAGTCCTACCTGATCGCTCCAATTCGGCTGCAGATAAGACCAAGACTGACTGAATAACGTAGGGATCAAGTTCATGTACGTAGACGACATAAGGCCTTAAGGCTCTAAGCCACAATGAAACGATACTTTGTATTTCAATATGGCGGATATCATGCGAGTACAATACAGTGCGATGGACAGGGAAACCGAAAGGAAATAAATAACAATGTCACTCAGACTATGTCCGCAAGAAACATGATAGCGTGCTTTGAACCGTTATCTTCTTCACGATGGTGAATTTGACAGAAAGACTGAGGTCGGAATGCTAAGTTAAAATTGATGGTTGGAAATGTGCATAGAAAGTACCCCCTCAGAATGCACTTCTTCAACGATCGCCCATGGACGAAGTGCTTGCCTTTGCACGCTTGCTGACGCCAATGCTCTTGCCTTTGGACTTGCGGGAGGAAGAGCTCGCAAGCTTGCGCATGGTGGGATGTGTGCCGCGTGCGCGGGAGCGAGTCCTCATTGGTTCTCGCTGCTCCTCTGGCACCGAAGCGCGGGGCCGCGTGAACCAGTCTACGTAACGCTGGTGAGCGGTGGTGTTGACAGCACTCGAGATTCCCGAAGCAGCGAGGTCCCAGTAGACCGGCAGTGTGATGTTGGCGAATTCTAAATCATCGTAATTGGCATCGGCCACGAGCCCACGTGCGTACCTAACCATGGATTTCCTCATACTAGACAACCCACGTACCAACATGGCGGTGACAGCGTCCATATTCAAGGTATGGCATCAACGTCTGTGCAAAAGTGAGTGGCGTAGTAGGAGGTGGATATGAAAACTTACGCCGTAAGCCATGCGCTGAGGGTCGTGATCATCAACGTTGATAGGAGTGTCGCTGGATGGGTCTCTAGCCCATACAAAGAACTGGACAGAGTCCACTTCGCACCAGTTGTGATCGGCGACCATGACAGGCTGGCCGATCTGGTTTGGGGTGGACCGCTATCTGATGAATGATCTGAGGGAAAGTGGTGCAAGATCGGTGGTGCCGTGAGATAGGAGCGTCTTGGATGCTGTAGAAGTGTCATCTGGGCTCTTGTAGGGCGCCACTTCCTTGATTGAAGCTAGGATTGCCAAGTCAGCCTCCGGATGGGCAGTGATCTCATCTCGCATTTTTGAAAAGACGTGATTCCTATCCTCACTGAACCCCGGTAGTTCATATGGATCCTTGGACGAACAACGGCACGGTTATAAGGAAGATTTGCGATCGCTAAGGTGAAGACTTCTTTGAGATAGTCGAATGGTTCCTCGTGCAAGCTAGTGGGCATCTCGACGATGAGTAAGAGGTCGTTGTAGTCGTAAGTAAGCCTGTTGGACGATTTGAGAATGACTCAAAATTGGCAAACTCTGAGAAGCGAGAAGCTCGCCTTGGCTTCGCCGATAATCGGCCCGATTCTATAACACGTTGTATCAATTCAAAATCTTCTGCTCTCACACCGCTGAATTCCTGCGATATTCGGTAAGCAATTGTGACCCGCATCGTTGAGTGGCAGGGCGTACTCGGCAGTTTTGCTCTGGAGCTGATTGAGTTAGATACCTCATGACCACCCCCATGCCTTCAATTCGATCAGAATATGAAAAACCATCAACAACTTCCAACACGTACTGGGGCTAATAGGTTGGCCTTGGAAGGTCAAGTCGTGGCTTGGATCTGCCGCAGTACTGAGGGCAACTTCAACCAATTTTTTCTCTTGTTCATCCTCCACTACAGGAAAAGACGTTTTGAGCGATGCCTCTTGTGAAGTCATGTTGCCTGGCTGTGTATTTGGGAGCATTGTTATCTTGAGGTCGAACTTGCGCTTGGATTGGGCGAGCGCAGGCGTCGCCTGGGTGTTGATAGAGCTGCCTCTGGTTTCATGGCGTTTACATTGGGTGGAAACCAAAGGAGTGCGGCAAGGGCTGCTGTCAGCTGAAGCTACTCGAGCAGGCATGGTGATTTGTGTTTGAATGTTTAATGCTGAGCACTGGCACTGCTTGTCTATGGCACTGGGGTCAGGAGTCAGGACTGGTCAGGAAGTGAAAGACACGTGCTTGCCGTCCCTTCTGCCCTATGAGGAAAAGATTGTCATTCATTTGTAATTTTGCTTATCTTGGCGTTTTCACTCTTACTATCTGAACAGCTACACTGCACTTTAGCGCCATTCAGTACTCTTCACATTAGACGGAGTCTGGCCCAGGAGTACGCTACTAACATGCTCTACCATTACCTCATTGCAACAAGATTCCCACTGGGCAATGGCACGATCATGATTACAGGCATCATCATGCAAATCAACTCTACCATCAATTAAGTGCAGCTGACATGGATGAGTCCAAGCTAGTAGAATGTATGCTACAATTACCACCAGGGAATCGACAACTGGAGGTCAACGAACGGCAAAGCCCGTATCATTCAACCATTTCATCCAAGCTATGCCCTGTATGCTAGGGTTTTCAACTACGGAGTAGTAGCTCGGAATTCCATCGAGTAATGACTATTCTGTCTCACTTTCGCTTGCAACATAAAACCATGCTTTTGTATGCCGCAGAGCATGTCCTTTATTTTCGTCGCTGAAAGCAATATTACGACGTAAAGGCCCCGCAATCAACGTAACGCACCCTAAAGGACTCATCAGTTCTCTGATGGACACTTTGGATGCTAGAATATATCAGTGCGCATACTTGACTAATAGATTAATTCATTGAACCTTGACCGTGCCGAAAGTTTCAAAATTTTCGGTCTTACGGTGTCAAGTAGTAACAAGTCGTCCTCGTGAATTATTTGGGGACTCACTAGTATGACACGCAAGCGGCGCCAAGATACGTACCATCGTGATAGGGCTTTCAAGCGGGCTCATCTGGAGGCATCCGTCAATTCTAGCTCTGACTCGGACTCGGAGAACTTCGATGGTCCACTGGAAATCTGGTTGTCCAATGGGCAGTCCGTTGTGTGCTGCGAACCATTGCATACTCCAGTGCACTCTGAGTCAAGTGCACTCTTCTCACCCCCTACCGCCATCTGTCCCTTGTTGACTGCAGTGGGAATGTCATTTGGGCAGTATGGTTTTATCTGTGACATTACATCTGGTCTTGTGCCTGCTGCCTACCTGTCAGTTCACATGGAGCACCTCCACCACAGACAGAAGTTAAGAAATCGGACACCTTCGACAATCAAATCAGTTCTAGTTACCCACTTACTCAACAGCCACCATCTCACGTCGACGACACCCTGTCCCAGCCCCCCTAGTGATTTGTCCGAGTCCATCCAGGGTCTTCAACCAGAGTGGTCATCCCATTGTCCGCATCCGGGCTGTCGTCATTGGCACGCTGTACCTGCAGGAAAATCTTCTATCAAGGGTCAACAAGCTGGCACCAGAAAACACGTCGCTGAATCCCACCCCGAAAATGCGAAGACTTATTTGGCTGGGGTCTTTGAAATGAGATGGGTCTACCGTCCCTTTCACAAAACTGTTGATGGTGAAAACCGGCTGTTCTCCGAAGTAGTCTGGCCTTTTATCAAAGACTACGTTCCTGTGTCCTTGGCGCAAGCTGTTGTTTCAGTGAGGTCCTCTCGCATCCAATATACGGTTTCTGTCCACAGTCAATATTTGACAGACCTTGGGTGGCAGAAGTTTATTGCTAGCCTGGGCCTGCAACCAGGCGTTCTTCGTGGGTTGGTTAGGCTTAAAACAAAGAAAGAGGCACTATCCTTGGAGGGAATAGAAAAGCAGCTTGAGCTCGGTCTTATTATCATTCGGAAGCTCTACAGGTCATATATTGTGGACGTCCAAACCTATATATCTTCCAAAAATGACCCGCAGTTTCGTCAAGCAGTAACAATGAAGTGAGTTCTCTTCATCTTTGTCTGTGCATAGCTCATAGTCTATTACTCAGCACCAAGGCGCACTTCAGATCATTGAGCCAAGTTTCTTACTACACCTACTCCACACCTCTGTCTCGCTGCATCTGCATGCTCATCAGATGGATCCATGCTGAGCGCACCGGTGCTTTGGCGCCATTCGGCGCTTTTTACATCAGACGGAGTTTGGCCCAGGAGTACGCCACCGGCATGCTTTACCATTACCTCATTCAAACCAAGGTCCCCCGTCCTGCTGCGCTTCTCCAACTCCTGCATCAACTGCTTGTGACCCTCGTCAAGCAGAAATTTACGAACCTAGAAACGATGGCATGCCCAACAGACTACACCCTATGTATCGGCTCACTGGCTGACGATGGCGGCTTTCTACTTGCTACCACCACCGCCAGGATGTGTGCTGTGCTGCAGCATAACTTCTATACCATCATCATCCATTCTTCTCGGCTCGAGGACCACGGCTACCAACGTTTTAATCCATTTCATTTAGATAATTTCACCCTGGATCCTGTACCAGATGCAGGTGAGGCGCCTCAACCTATGGGGGAGCCAACCGCTGCCCCAGATGAAGGAGAAAGCGCTAATGATAGTATGTTGGCACAATTTCGGGAAGTAGAGGAAGAGTTTGTAGATGGTCATGATGATAATATAGATACAGAGGAGGGAGAGTCTGTGCTACCGCATGAAGCTGAAGGCGGATGGGACTTTGAAAAAGAGGAAACTTTTCATTCTTACTATTTAAACGGCGATACTCCAGAGAACCTAGGTGAGGCACGAATTAAGGATGGCATACAGTGCACTGATATGAGTGACATATTCAGACAAATATTATGACCCGCGGTCTTCTCTGCCGGCTCAACGATGTCCACCAAACTTTGTAGCTCAGATAGATCGCAATCCTGGGTCCTTGTCGGTCTTAAGGTAAACTATTATATACTGCTTTCACAACTGGGATTACACTTAGCTGCATGATCGATCTATAGCGTTTTGGCGAAGAATTCACACTACGTTCAGCCCTTGCTTGCCAGCCATCCCTCGTTTGCCACACCCTACAACCAAATCAAGACTGCCTGGTTCCATTCGAGGCCAACGTCATTCAAAGAGAGACGAAACTACGGTTTTTTCTTCACTGAAGACGGGACTGCCATTACCATGCGAGACGGTGACGACATCTCCCGGAGTATCCTGTTTTCAGACATTGGGGTATTAGCCAAGACCACGATATCAAATATATCAGATCAGATAGTCCAGTGCTTGCCACATGGTTGCAAAGATCTCCTTCGACAGTTTCGTGGCATCTCCAGTCAGTTAGTCGATGACCTTACTAGTCCCGACGCCATTTTCCTTCAGCCTTCCAACCGCATTCTCATACAGCCATTGTTGGATGCGATGTTAAAACATCTGTCAGACCCAAAAGAACTCGACCATCACATCATGCTTTCTCCCTCTGTGATTACTGAGGAAGCCGCCAGAAAGTGGCTGGCGTTCGACAAGCGAATTCTTGGTCAAATCATTGTTGCCTTTCTCCTAACGTGCGGGATACCTCCCCTACACTGGCAATTTCGGACTTTTCAATTCCAGTCAGATAGCACGACGGGCATCCCTCGTAATCTCTATCTTCTAGGCTCCGAGCTTGTTATAGGTCACCCGGCGGCTAGACAACCCAACCAGGTCTTGCAAGAATGGCTGTGGGCCTTTCCTCCCAGTCTCGCTCCACTTATTCTGTTCTACCTTGCAATTATACGGCCTAGCGTCGTTCACATCACAGGCCTTCTTCATTATGTCAACAACGATCACAAGACTCATATCTTTGCTCATACCTTTCCTACTACTCGCCTTGAATTTCCCCGAGTTTGGAATGGAAGCGATGTCAATAACTTGCTGCAGATTCACACATCCTCTCTTCCAGTCCTGTTATCATGCGGACTTCTGCGAAATGTGATAACCGCCGTGTACAATCAACTCTTCCCAGCTCTTTCCCATATTGGGCCCTCAGACGACTCCATGGTGGATCGCCAAGCTCAACACACAAGAACGACGGGCAACATTCATTATGGGCGGTCTGATCATGTTCCCTTCGCTTTTGGAATGACACTTGAACAGGCTCGCAAATGCATGGCCTCCAGCCAGGCATTGCATGCCTTCTATGGGTTAGGCAGTCTGGATCATCAATGGGCTGAGCGCTTACAAAACTCAGCGTTTCTGACTGACTTGAGGAACGAGAATCTGGCTCTCAAAGAAGCAAGGATTCTTGTCAGAGAGAAGTACAACTTACACCGCTGTCGCTTGCCACACCAGATAGCTGGCCTTCTGGAGACTGCACCTTACTTAACTCTCAAAGATGTAAGCGAATTATGGGTTTGAAGTTCATCGTCCTTAATGTGTTCACTAGGGGGTTATCGGAGATGAGGTGCTTCGACGGGTGATGCATGCAGTGTTGTTTGGTGGTTCCAGACCCAATATTCTTGATCGTCCTTCTGGAGGAGGATACTTGATTGCTGATGTATCAACCGCGGTGGTACAGGTGAGCAGCTTTATCGTTACTATATTTAGGAATGCTCCTAAATAACTCAAGATTGTCAAAGCTGTGGAGGAAGTAGAATGCGGAGCCCAGTTTCATTCCCCAAGACAGATGGACATCAGCACCATCATTCACTTCGACGAAGTAGCAACACAGGCCCAAAGACACCTTGCTGCACTAAAAGACAACTTTCCTACTTCGTGGATAAAACTATGCACTGACGTCCATAGGCTCTATCAGAAACCAGGGTTGTCGAGAGAGATTTCCTGGGTTGTAAGAGGAGTTCCTGGATAAAGACGTTCACATAGTACTATACACGTGTGGTGATGATTATTTAGTCTCACTCAGCCCGAGGATCGTGACATTCCGGTATTAAACAAAAGATGTTGGCATCCACACAAGGACAACTTGAACGTCCCTTCAGCGAATGAGCCAAATATTGATGTTCAAAGCCACCTATGTTCTCTGCCACCTCGAATCACACATGATGCCGATTTAGCCGCTGACCATCATGATCATGCTGAACTTAAACTGTCAACGACGAGAAATAACCGGGTGAGCGACAGTTCTACATAAGTTAGCTGAGATAATCAAGCCGATTAATTAGGAAAAAAGTTCGTACGCATGTGTAATGAAGACTTTGATACAAGCACCTGTATCCTACCCTTACCCTTATTCTTCCCTGCGCCGTCAGGCCTTCGAAGCTTCAGGAGCCGAGTCAGCCAACACCACAAGTTTGAAGCTGTGGGTTCCCTGTGATACTGTCATCATCACTGTCATTGGTATCGTCGAAGTCGGCGGCATGAGGTGGTGGCTGATGCTTGTATGGAAATATACTAGTAGTATGATGGCAACTAGTCAATAATATGTCACTAGAAGCTAGCCGGTGGGTCGACTTAGAGAGTCATTAGCAAGCAGTTTTATCCCGAACCCTACTTCCCATGCTACCAGGTTGATATAGATACTGACACTGCTCAGCGCTCATATACACAACCCTGCTGAACGTCCCTCCTTGCTACTCGTTGTGCGTTCTGTTAAACGCAGGCCATCGTCTGCTGAACATCCCTCCTTCGCTGCTCCTCGTCACTGCAGGTTCGTTAAACGCAGGCTATCGCCTGCTGAACGTCCCTCCTTGCTACTCGTTGTGTGGGTTCGTTAAACGCAGGCTATTGTCTGCTGAACATCCCTCCTTCGCTGCTACTCGTTGTGTGGGTTCGTTAAACGCAGGCTATCGTCTGCTGAACGTCCCTCCTTCGCTACTCGTTGTGCGGGTTCGTTAAACGCATGCCATCGTCTGCTGAACGTCCCTCCTTGCTACTCGTTGTGTGGGTTCGTTAAACGCAGGCTATTGTCTGCTGAACATCCCTCCTTCGCTGCTACTCGTTGTGTGGGTTCGTTAAACGCAGGCTATCGTCTGCTGAACGTCCCTCCTTCGCTACTTGTTGTGCGGGTTCGTTAAACGCATGCCATCGTCTGCTGAACGTCCCTTGCTACTCGTTGTGTGGGTTCGTTAAACGCAGGCTATCGTCTGCTGAACGCCCCTCCTTCGCTACTCGTTGTGCGGGTTCGTTAAACGCATGCCATCGTCTGCTGAACGTCCCTCCTTCGCTACTCGTTGTGTGGGTTCGTTAAACGCAGGCTATCGTCTGCTGAACGCCCCTCCTTCGCTACTCGTTGTGCGGGTTCGTTAAACGCATGCCATCGTCTGCTGAACGTCCCTCCTTCGCTGTTCGTTGTGCGGGTTCGTTAAACGCATGCCATCGTCTGCTGAACGTCCCTCCTTCGCTGTTCGTTGTGATACTAGATTCGTCAAACGTAGGCTATTGTCCATTGACCGTCTCCGTCGAAATACACATCTTTAATATTCGTGATTTAAACGCCATAAACTGCGGGCTGCTTCAAAACATGTCAACTTGACCTGCAACTTCGATAAATGCATTTTTGTAGAGTATGCAGTATCATCATGCCAGCTCTCAGTAGTGCAGTGATTCGAACACTCACACCTATCTACGTTTATTCGCACAGAGTCGGGGGAGTATTCTTCTGAGCGAAACGCATGCACTTTGCGCAAACTTTGCGTGAATTCTCCAATGTACATTTGCGCATCTGCTGCTTGCACGTGCATGTACCATGCTGAGCCTACTCTTCTGTTAGTGTTTGTCTTCCGAAGCCGTTCAATTGGTGAGTATTGCTGCAAGTTGTATTTGCAGTATAGACCCGAATCTTTACTCAGGTTTTTCGAATGTCTCGATCAAGAATACAGTCGGGGCAGATTATCGTCGAGACTCGATGATATCTTGCATTGAGCGCACATGTTGCGGGCCGTTCGGTCTGCTTTCATTCCATCGGTTTCGTGCTCTGTTTCAACTGTTTTTGTTTCATACCATTCCATGCATTGTATTCGTATTTTGTACTAGTAGCTACTACAATTTGAAGTAGTATGATATGAACCGTTCTTGCACGATATCAAACCGCTCGTAAGAAATGCAAGGGAGTGCCACATCGTGTAGAAACAACTTGAACGACTCTCGCACGACGCCGCACGATACGGACTCTTTTTGCATCGTGTATTCGTCCGGATTTCTTGTCGAGATCGTGCGAGGGCGGTTTCAGCTGGCGGTGCACGATGTGGCACGCTCTCACACGTTCCCGCACTGTCCGGTTTTCACTGGGAACTTTCACTGGGGGCCGGGAACCACGAGGATTAGGAGCTGCTGAGGTTTAGGATGTGTTTTAAGACTGTAAGTGTCGGCGCTGCGCGCCGTAATTAAGGGTTAGTACGAGCTACAAAAGCATGGTTTTATTTTGCGAGCGAAAGTGAGACAGAATAGTCATTACTCGACGGAATTCCGAGCTACCTCCTCCGTATTTGAAAGACCTAGCATACGGGGCATAGCTTGTATGAAATAGTTGAACATTCTCTCTTTATCTCCAGTAAACGAGCGGATGTCCTTTATGGCAGCTGCGTACCAGTCCTTATCTTGCTGGCTAGGGAAGCGAGTTATAGTATCCATGCCTGCAGCGTGCCTCATCTTCGAACGACATAGAGCTGCAATGAAGCAAGTAATGTTTCTGATGCATTTTTTCCACTGCACGTCTTCATGGAAGGGGATAAAGCGGGAATATTGCTGGCGCGACAACATCTCTTCCATAAAATCGACAATTGTTGGATGCGCAAATGGAATCCGGCACATTCGGGATTCACTTGCGTTCACCGGTATCTAATCAGAACCCGAACCGTTAGCGTGAGGGGCATGCGAACACAATCCACCTACCTCTAAGTGCCCATCTAGAAATGAGTTGTCCAACAGCATAGTGGTGACAACAGTGTAGCGCTGCAAGTCCATCTCTGCCTTGCTCTTGGTTATATTAAAGGTTAATTGGAACCCCGTAATAACGTTGCCAATCCGGTCCGCAAAGTCGCGGTGGAGCATTGTAACGACGGCCTTCAATTTGGTGATACGGGCTTCGCCATCCGTCGACCTCCAGTTTTTTATTCCCTCTACGTTTTTCATTGATGGGTTGTAAAATGAAGATATAGTACGGAAGACATACCGTCTGCATGACGGGCGACAACCTCGTCCAGAGCTTTCGTGGCCCTCTTTGTAAGTTCTTTTGCGGTAGGAAAAAGCCCCTCCTCAAAGGTCAAGCTTATCATCTTCCTGTGAGATTCGTCGTACACTTGTACGAGTAAAGCCTGCGATACAACGACGAATAGGTTTGGCGTCACTGCCTTGGGCTTTCTTGCACGGGGAACATCCCTAGGCGCAGCGTTGCTAGAAGTTCGTTGCTTTGAACTGGAGTGTTGGAACCTCGTACGTTGCAAAATCTGAGTCATGTCATCGTTGACAGGCAAAGGCAACGTCGAGCCAAAAGAACCTAATGATAACTGGCGCTGTGACTGGGCGTGTAGGATGCTGTGATTACCCTGACTGGGCTGTAGCTCCAGGTTCGTCACGGCACCCGGATGGTTTTGACCCGCGGACACCTGATACTGTGGTGACTGTGCAATTAAAGTATCATACCCTAGTAGATTGCGAACATGAACCGGCGAAAACAACTGAAGTTCGAAGACTTACCCCGATTACTTGGAACTGGTAGAGCCCTTGGATATGTAGGATCTATTAACGAAAATGCTGGAGGGTATACTGGTTGGGCCTGGACCCCCGATCCTGAGGGGGTAGCTTGGCCTAGGCCACTAGTTAGAGATGGAAAACGGTCTTTCGTAGCCTGAGAAGCTGGGAATGACTCGGATGGTTGTAGCAACTGGCTGCTACCTAGCACGGCCAGCTTGGGCTGTGGCCAGAACACTTCATCGTTGGTACCGAACACTGGATTGAAGAGTTGAAATAGTTCGGGTGAGTCATGAGACTTAATCTCACCTTGACTCGAATTCAGACGAATAATCGGGCCAGTGCTCGCGCTTATTCCACCAAGTTCGAATGATCCTTGCTCCTGGTACTGCGGCGGTAATTGTAGCATAGATTCTACTGGCTTGGACTCATCCATGTCAGCTGCGCTTAATTGATGGTAGAGTTGATTCGCATGATGACGCCTATAATTGTGATCCTGCCATTGCCCAGCGGGCCATGATGGGCCTGCCATACTAACTTGAACTTGATGATCGACCTGATGGAACGTGAGTACCAATACTAGTAGTAGTATCGAGGATTTAAATCCATCCGATGATATTAAAAGTAGCTGTACATACCTTTCGATGTAGACCTGCGAGGTCACTAGAGGTCGCGGCGATGATAGAGTGAGAAAAGACGTCTAAGGTTTATACTGTGATGATAATTACCGTGTACCAAATAGTCATTGATCACGATTGCAGGCTGGAGCCGGCTAAGGTCGGTAAAGACTACCATACTGAATCTTTAGTCGTTTCCTGCCTCGCGTCCGATTTCACTTACCTCACCCAACTTCCTGCCCCAATGCATCGCGGCAGCTAGAGTTGGAAAAGATTGCTTTGAAATTACCTAGAGGCGTTTTGGGGGTGACCCAAAATGGACTAGAATACGAACATGAGGCTATTGAATGGTTCCCAAATAGCGCCGCGATCAAGCTCCGAAATTGACCAGCGCTCAGCTGAAATGCCATTCCCACAACGCAGTATGTAATAGGACCATACGCCCCCCATGATAGAACCGCATGTTGTATTTCGGGGCTGGACGTAATAATTTTCTGAACAGCATCAAGGCTTTTCCAGGCAGTGTGGACGAACTTTGATGCTTACATCGAAAAACTATTTTCTGCCGTAGTCCATAGTAGCGTCATTAATAATGGAAGTCATCTGAGTTGGGTCGGCACGTAAGTAGGCGTGATGGTGTCTCGACTGCGCCCTCGTTCAAGTCCCAAAGTTAGCCGAAGTGTCAATTGCCACCGTACTCGCCGTCGGACCGACTCTGGATAAATCATGATCAGTAGAGGTTGCGCTCTCGTATTTACCCTTTTGGATATTGCGGTTTCACATCAGAGTCACGAGGCCCCTAACACGAGGGTAGCCTAGGGGCGGCACGATGCTGATAAGATGAGTCAGTAAATAATAATAATAATAATACTCTTAGCCTGACAGAGGGTGATGATTTCTGAGAAAACCGTCGGTGAAGGTAAGAAAGAGATATACAAACGAACTAAGAACGAGCTCACCAAGCGAGGCGACGGTAAAGCTAAGAAAGAGGGCAAGCTCAATCTAACACAGCGCCGCCCGCTAAGTAAGCACAGCTCCACCATAGGAGAACGGAGCCTGAAAAAGGATCAATCCTGAAGGACACGTCACTGAATTTCTCGATCCTGGAATATCCGGGACATCCGGGACATCCGACCCATGGCGGACTTAGCATCACGTGTGGTTCCCACGTACCTGACACGACAGCGACGTGTAAATGATGACCACGCTCATTGCCGAAACCTTCGTGCTCGCTGTTGCACACAGCGAGCTCAATTATTTTACCATTTTCACACATTTTTTTCGTAATCTTTCACTATATCATGTCACATGTCATTAAATATTAAATATTTCGTATTTTTGGACCTCCTAAGTGTACACAATTGAATGAATATTATAATGGGGTCCTCCACCTCATCCCTTGGGCCTCAAACCATTCTAAAAAGGCTCCTGGGAGTCAACAGTCTGCCAGGAGAGAGTTCTACCTGCAAGTGCTAGCTGGGTACTAGTAGCAGCCATGGTCACGGTGTCAGCCACGACAGGCGCGGCGCTGTGGGTCACGTGGTATGCTGTGACCGTGAGATGTCCATTATACGGGTCGGATGGGCCGGATGTCTCGGATGTCCCGGATATTCCAGGATCGAGATGTCCTCACGAACGACGCTAGATATCACGCGGCCCATTAGCTTAGTATAAATAAAATTAAACCCAAGCCCATCAGATGCATCATAGCTCACCTTGAAACCTTAGGTCCGTGCGCATGCGCTGGGCCGAAAAGCCCTACGGGCTTTTACCCAATCAACTTCCCTTACGTTCATTGATCAATCGCTATAACATTTGTACCTAGTTTCTCTGATCAATTCACTCTGCTTCGATCTCCAATAACTGCGTGTCAAAGGCATAGAATAGTAATTAGTAGGGGTTGGCGTTGTCGAGTAACGGTTTTATCACGATCCTTCAATTGTACAACTCTTGATTCGAGCATACCATACCAGCCTGACTGAGATCGACTCGATGCCATCGCAGAAAGAAAGCACAAAGCGATCAAGACCCTGATTTGGTGGGGCGTGGCTAGGTTGTGCGGTACCACTATATAGTACATTGGAGCTTTCGATGTCAACGTCTCGCTTTCGCATGGTGTATGCAAGACGCTTTATTTCGGAACGAAGATCATGATGCAGAATTCAATCAATGAGGGCTACAGACTACTACAAAGAGAGGGGGGAAACACACAATGTGAATAATGATCGACTTGAAAGCGGGTCTACGAGGAAAACGTCCAATAAAAAGTATATTGACGAACGGAGGCCATCACAATATGGTACAACCCGTGCTTTACTGCCCAACCTGTTATGCAAGATCAGTATTATAACTGACGGTGATTGATACGATAATTACATCAGGTGTTTCATCGGACTTGACGGAATCTTGCGACATTGTGCTAGTGTCCATGGACTCGGATTCACACCCGCTGCCGCATTGATCTTCCGAGTCATCTAAACTCATGAAGTCTAGTAAGCGATCTCCATCGACGCAATCATTAACAAGGGAGTGGGCCATGCCCTGGACGAGATCAAGCTGTTCGTCTCCAACGGCGAGCGACGTTATGTCAGGGTTGTATACGGCCGTGCAAAAGTGGAGGCGCTCATCGAGCTCATCCACGTTCCCTCTGGAGATCCCATGTAGTGAGATGTCCCAAGGTTCTGATGCAGCATTGACATATGCGTCGCCGTCGTCTTCAAGAACCATCTGAAGAAATCTTTTGTGTTCTTCGATGGCTTGGATTTCCCAAGCTGTTGTCAGAGCACGCATGCGCCTCCATTCAACATCAGCTTGTTTCGTGGCGACGGCTTGCGCAATTGCCTCGGGAGACAGGGATTGCAATCGACTTTCGAGTAAAACTTTGCCCTGGCATGCTGTTGGATTATCAAGAAGTTGCGGGTATGCATCGGTTAACGTACCTTCTGAGTGTCCGGTAAAGTTCTAGAGTCAGTGGGGGAAAGTTGGCTTGCAGCGTAGCGGCGCTGTAGTGTGGTAGGGTCACGCCTCTCGTAGGGCTTGGGTTGTGCTTTCGCGGAATGTACATAACGAGACAGACTCCGGATTATGGGAGGAGGAGTTACAGGTGCATTTATGTCTTCATCGGATGAATCATAGGGACCGGCGTCAGATAATGACAGTGGTCTTGCACGGCGTTTGGTTGGTGAAGTGGCAGTACGATACGTACGACGAGTCGTGCTATTGGCAATAGCCAAGGAGCGATGGAAACCTTGTTCGTGGTCGTTCAGAGGGCCATTCGCTACGCCCTTGTTTGGCCCTTCATAGTCAAGACGAGAGTGTCTGAAGATGCTCTGAGGAGGAACTTGAACAGCGGCCATACCTTGTGGACTCTGGAGACACTGAGGCTGAGTTTGAAATACTGAGGTGCTTTTTATGAACACGGTTTACAAAAATGGGTTTTGGGTTTTTCCCTGATAAGACTACGGTACTCCCGGGCCCTTGAAAAAACTATGGAAAAGGTGCTTAAGCTATACTAGTGACCTCGAATCAGAATACAGCTCATGAGAAAAACTGCATGAATAAGAGCACGAGAGTGCGGCTTGAGTTCGATCGCTAGATACCTGCCGATTTTGATGTATACTGAAATCGGAAGTTGATTGATAAGGTAACCGCCTATTGTAATGTGTATCGAAAAAGGGACATCACGTCTGAGTTGGAACTTGGCACGACCGGTGAATCAGTAGCTTCCGAGTCCCATCTTTTTGAATGAATTCCCTCCGTTGCCGAGTCTTTCGCAACTGAGATAGTTGGTCAAGTTATATTATGTAATATTATGCTTAGATCATATGTTTGTTCATATTTGGCTCTTATCGATCGTTACTAATAGTACCCGCTCTCAGGCTACATACATCTTACTGAGTACTGAGATCTGAGGGAGAAAAACTGATGTTCTGTGCTACGTAGCCTTGAATTCTCACACTACCAACATTCAATATTAATCCCAGTCAAAATCTGCTGTGACGGGAGAGGGCAGGATATGTTCAGATGTGGCCCTGAGAAGAAAAACACATACGGGTGTATCTCCCTGACTCGCCCTGTAGCCGGACGAAAAGCATTAGCCGGGGCAGTGTCTCTGGCGCTCTCACGTGTCGAAAACATATAGAGCAGTCGATGTAGTAGAAAGTGAAACGTAACAAACGATCATGGTCATCTCTATTCCGCTAAATACAGCAATTGCACGGATGCTAAAGAAGATGCAGGAGCAACAAATGAAGAACCGCGATCTTTGGGCCCATATTATGTAAAAGGTACGTCAGCCTCGTGTACGCAGAGAATTTCATCAACGATCGTCATTCATGCAGTGTCGAGCTTTATGAATATGCATTCATCCGCCACGTTCTGCACGTGCGCAATGATCTAGAGCTGAAGATGTTGAAGAAAATTGGTATCGTAACGGTACGCATTGATTTCAAGGCAAAGTAGCCCATATTCATCCTTGCGCATCCATCAGGCCCTCAATACGACGCTTTGGGGAAGCATTCCTCGTGCGTCCGCTACCTTTGACTCGTTGCTCACAACTAACAGACAGATCTCTCAGTAATCGTGACGTTTAGTTCTTTTGCTACCGCATCTGTGTTCTCGTCGCGACCACTCACAGCCGGCGTCATCTTCCCTGCGATCTCACTGTTTATGCTTCCTGCACGCTGAGGAGCTGCAGCAGAATGCCCTCTTGAAGGTGCAGAAAAGCAGTCTGGACGTCGGTGATGAGGTTGGCAATTCTCTAACTACTTATGATTATTTTCACATTTGTGATTGGTGCTTTCAATCAAAAATGGCGAATTCCAGTGGAACAGACAAGATATATCAGCTGCTCTGGAAGATATAAACTTGACGGTACACAAGGGGAACTCGTGGGTGTAATTGATAGTGTGGGCAGCGGGAAGAGTAGCTTGTTGTCAGCGATTATCGGGGACGTGCGAAAGACAGAGGGTGAGGTCACCTGGCACCGGCTTTGTTCGGCAATGTAGCTTATGCCGCTCAGACTCCTTGGTGCATCGCATATGCAGGATTTTCTAGGACGTTCACTCACAAGCGAATAAGATTCTTTCTGCGTTGGTTCAAGGTGATATACTTTTTTCGCATGAGTACGATGAGGCGTTCTATAACCTTGTTATCAAAGGTGTGTACATGATTAATTGTGTTAGGTTTGGACTGACCCTTCCCTACAGCTTGTACTTTAAAGCCCGACTTAAATCTTCTCCCACAGGGTGATCTGACGGAGGTCGGTGAAAAGGGTGTGTTTCTGACTATCCTTTTTGTGACCCAATAATGTTTATGGCGTCCGTTCTATAGCCATTACTGTAAGTACTTCGGGATAGTAATGTATCGGCCAAAGGTAAATGATCTCTCAGCTCAGCGGTGCATCCTGCAGGGTTCTCCTTGGTGCTGCCATCGATTCCTACGTTTCCTGACACGTCTTTGGTGAGTAAGAGCATCCGGTCTCAGACTTCTTTCTTTCTAATGATACTATGTGACAGATCATGGGTCCTCAAGGCTTACTCGCAACCAAAGTGCGCATTCTTGTCACTAACGACATTCCGTATCTCAAGTGTTTCGATCAACTTGTTTACCTGCGCCGCGGTATGATCTTGGAGAGTGGCTCGTACAGTGAGTTGATGTCGAATCCGGATAGTGAAGTGTGCAAGCTTGTGTGCGTGTATTTCCATTCACGATGTTCAACGCAATCTAATTGAGTTATGACAGTCACGGCCATGCCACGAGCGGTTCCAATTCTGGAACGACCACACCCGGACGGTCCAGCGGCATGACCACTCCCACTACAAGCGAGGGCCACATGCAAGCTACCCTTGTTGGATAGCTTGAATCTGTATCAGAGAGTGTATCGCGTAGAGAAAGTTTCAAAAAAGCCGTTCTCGCTACGCCGCCCAAGCTGCGCGACGCGCCTTCCGATGGCATCACTAAAGATCACAGTGAACAGGGCCGCGTCAAGATGGAAGTGTACTCGCGGTACCTCCAAGCAGCATCGAGAAAAGGGTTCCTGTTCTTTGTAATCGCTACGGCTCTGCAGCAGGTGGTATCTGTCATATCGACCGTAATACTCAGGCTGGGGCTAGCATGACCGCGAGATGGGTACCAACCCGGGATTGGCTGACCAGTATTTCCTGGGATACGGTCTGTCTAATTTGATGGCAATTTCCTTAGGCGCATCTGCTGCGCTTCTGATTTGGGTTTTCTGCTTGCTTCGGAGCTCAAAGCACCCCCATGATTCGGTTAGTGTTGCGTTCCAAGTATGGACGGAATGTGTTTCATTTGTTTTTCAGATGCTGCATTCAGTCATGCGTGCGCCCCTCGACTTTTTTGAAACAACACCGACAGGACGGTGCGTCAAATTAGTAAACTGTGAAATGATTTCTGAGTTCGAACAATCTCTTGTCGCAGTATCATTGAACTTGTTTTCTCGTGATACGTACGTTATCGATCGAATCCTGGCATTGTTCGCAACCAGTTGTGCTACCTTCCTAGTACTTCCATCAACCGATGGCTTGCAGTAAGATTGGAGTTTGTTGGAGCAGTGATTATCCTCGTCACGCCTGTTTTGGCTGTCTCTGCCGTGGTGACCAGCGACGTTTATGCAGGGTTGATCGGTCTAGTTCTGTCATACGCTTTGAACGCAACAGGTTCACTGGTGAGTGGCTTTCTCTTCGTCCCGAGGCATTGGTAACCAAGCGGCCGCAGAACCGGTTCGTCCGCTCCGCAAGTGAAGTAGAACAGAATGTCGTTAGCGTCGAGCGTATCGTCCATTACGCGAAAGACCTTGAGCCAGAAGCTCCTTATGAGATCCCTGAGAATAAGCCCACCTCTGGGTGGCCCACAGCTGGGGAAGTTGAATTCCGGTGAGTCCGTGTCGCTGTACGCACGAAATTGTATTGAACTTGTCTGATATAGGGAATACTCAGCACGGTATCGGCCCGGGCTTGATCTAGTCCTCAAGGATATTTCCATGACCGCAGTCAGTTATTTCGCCAGGTTTCTCGCATATGTATGCCGACTCGAGATGCCCCAGAAACCGAAAGAGAACGTTGGAATATGTGGCCGGACTGGGGCAGGGTAAGACATTTTGCTGGACTGTGACGATGCTTTTACAGCTTCTTCTTACCCTCTTCCGGATCATTGAGCCTGCATCTGGAGCTATTTTCATTGACGACGTAGACATTGCCAAACTTGGCCTGCATGACTGTGCGTCCTTTTTGAGTTGTCCATTTGGGGACTTGGACACCCCTTGATCTTGATCAAATCAACATAGTGCGGTCCGCGATATCCATCGTTCCTCAAAACCCAGATTTATTTGAGGGCACATTGCGAGAGAACATTGACCCCGTTGGCGAGCACCAGGATGTTGATATACGGACTGTTCTGGAGCACGTCCGTCTTTGAAATACGTTTGCGCTTCTGATGCTTACTGACGACACTTCTACAGGCCCATCTGAAGGCATATGTCGAATCACTTCCTGGGGCACTAGATGCTCCAGTCCAGGAGGCCGGATCGTCGCTTTCAGCAGGTCAGAGACAGCCCTTGCGTTTTGCGAGGGCGCTCTTGCGCAAGGTACGAGCGTCTCTTTTGGTTGATTATGAATTTTCATCACCGACACTCCCTAGACTAAAGTGCTCATCCTCGATGAAGGTCTGTATGAGCGGTATCTTGTTTCTCTGCAAGGTTAATGTGCATGATTCTCTAGCAACATCTGCAGTCGATCTAGATACCGACCGAGCGATTCAAGAGACTATTCGGGGTCCAATCTTCCGCGATGTGACCATTCTAACCATCGCGTATGCGCGGTAAGGTTTACTTGTCTAAGAGCGTGGCAAGCGGCACTGAACTTGATCTCAGACTTTGGATTTCTATTCGATGTAGATGAGTTCTTCATTTCATGACCACCGATATGCTTACTGACTTCATTCTTGTTGTCTATCTACGTCCTGGAGTAAGTCCTCATCACGATATTTTGAGCAGTTCTCTGACTATACTTTGCAGGGAGTCAAGTTTGAACCTAGTTCCTTCAAATTAACCCACGAGATGGTAGTTCTAACCACTGCAAGTTATCCTTTGCTTCTTCGAAATTCAGCGGAGTCATCATACTCATTATTAACCGTCGTGCGCCGCATCCAACGCATCGAATGCGAGGCCGAAGCAGACTGCTACCCTATGTACGGGCCTTGCACAAAGATCCAGATGAATCTGTCGACGCATCCCGTACCCTTTTCCGTGTCCGTTTCTTCGATGAAACAGATCAACCACGGGATAACTTTATCCGATCCACCAGCTTAACGTCCGACATTACCATCTTTGTCACCCGACACCCCGCTACTATACGCGCCTCCTTGGCTCCCCATATCTCCCTTCGAATCCTCTTTAACTCATTGCTCTTCATATCCACCCATACGGCGTCTATCGTCGATCAGCTCTCCGTGTCTCTAAGGAAGACGTCCACTAATCCAACTGCGGCGGTTGGTTCTGTTCCTCTCTTGACGGCTGCCCAACGTGAACGCTTGCCCAGCACAACAGTGAATTTGCATTGGGATAAATAGATTGGATGAAATTGAGGCGAGCATGCTGGAATGCAGCAGTCTCTTCTCCTCCGTATTTCGAAATAAAGAAGTGAAGTAGGTCGTTTACTGCGGCCCTTCCCAGCTCATCTCGAGATGTAGCACTTGGTACCACGTCATTAATGACACCGCACCACGATACGCGTGAGAAAAGGTCCAGTATGAATGAATACTCATTCCAGGGGCAGTTGTGGTAACCCTGTAAGGGCAGAGGTAGAGAGTCAACCCGATGCTGGTGAAGATATTTTTGAACGTCGCACGTCGTGCTAGATTCGTTAAACGTGGGTTATTGTCCACCGACCGTCTCCGTTGAAATACACATCTTTAATCTTTGTAATTCAAACGCCGTATACTGCGGGCTGCTTCAAAACACGTCAACTTAACCTGCAACTTCGACAAACGCAGTTTTGTAGAGTACGTTAGTGGCCCATCAGTGAAGTCGTTTATCTGACCGGCTTACATAATGCTGCCTGTACACTCAACCGGGACGGAATGTTGTTATTGAATTCTCTCACGAAGTTTTATGATGCGAACGAAAGTGAGACAAAATAATCACTACTCAACCGAATTCTGAGCCAGTACTCCGTAGTTCGAAACCCCTAGCATACTGGGCACAGCCCGGATGAAATAGTTGAACCCTGTCTCTTTATCTCCAGTAAACGAGTGGGTGTCCTTTATGGCAGCTGCGTACCAATCCTTATCTTGCTGGCTAGGGAAGGGAGTAACACCTATGCTCACAGCCTGCCTCATCTTCGAACGACATAGAGCTGCAATGAAGCAGATGATATTTCTAATACATGTTTGCCACTTGCCGTCTTGATGGAAGGGGATAAAGCGGGAATACTGCTGGCGCGACAACATGTGTTCCATAAAATCGATGATTGTTAGATGCGCAAATGGAACGCAGAATGTTCGGGATTCGTTTGCGTTAATCCGGATCTAATCAGAACCCGAAACATTAGCGTGAGAGGCATGCGAATACAATCCACCTACCTTTATGTGCCCATCTAGAAACGAGTCGTCCAGCAGCATGGTAGTGACAACGGCGTGGCGCCGCAGGTCCATCTCTTCCTTGCTCTCGGTTATATCAAAGGTTAATTGGAAGCCTGTAAGAGCGCTGCCAATTCGCTCCGCAAAGTCGCGGTGGAGTGTTGTGATGGTGCGCTTCAATTTGCTGATGTGGGCTGCGCCGTTCATCGACCTCCAGTCGTTAATTCCCTCTGCGTTTTTCATTCATGGGTTGTGAAATGAAGATACGGTACGGAAGGCATACCGTTTGCATGACGGGCGACGACGTCGTCCAGAGCTTTCTCGGCCCTCGCTGTAAGCTCATCTGTGGTAGGGAAAAACCCCTCCTCAAAGTTCAAGCTCGCCATCTTCGTGGCAGCTTCTTCGTTCACTTGTATGAGTAAAGACTGCGATACAATGGCGATCGAGTTCGACGTCGTTGCCTTGGACTTTCTTGCACGGGGAACGTCCCTAGGCGCAGCGTTGCTAGAAGTCCGTTGCTTGGAACTGGGGCGTTGGATCCTGGTGCGCTTAGTTGCGTCATTGTTGACAGGCAAAGGCAACGTCGAGCCAAAAGAACCTAATGATAACTGGCGCTGTGACTGGGCGTGTAGGATGCTGTGATTACCCTGACTGGGCTGTAGCTCCGGGTTCGTCATGGCATTCGAGTGGTTACCGCATGCGGACACCTGATACTGCAGTGACTGCATAATTGAAGTACCATACCCTAGATTGCGAATGTGAATCGGTGAAGACAACCAAAGTTTGAAGGCTTACCTCGACTTGGGCCGCTGTGCATTGACAAGGTATCTGAAGCACCCTGTCGTTGAAGACGAGGCCCATCTTCAGATTCCAGAAATACCGATGGCAGTGCCAGTGGCCCTGTTGGCGAACGAAAATCGCTATTTATTAACGAAAATGCTGGAGGGTATACTGGTTGGGCCTGGGCCCCCGAGCCTGAGGGGGTAGCTTGGCCTAGGTCACTAGTTACGGATGGAAAATGGTACTGTTCAGCCCGATAAGCTGTGAATGACTCCGATGGTTGTAGCAACTGGCTGCTACCTGGCCAGTACGCTTCAGCGTTGGTACCGAACGCTGGATTGAGGAGTTGAAATAGTCCGGGTGAGTCATGAGACTTAATCTTACCTTGACTCGTATTCAGACGAACGATCGGGCCAGTGCTCGCGCTTGTTCCACCAAGTTCGAATGCTCCTTGCTCCTGGTACTGCGACGGTAATCGTAGTATAGCTTCTACTAGCTTGGACTCATCAATGCGAGCTGGGCTTAATTGATGGTAGAGCTGATTTGCATGATGATGCCTATAATCGTGATCCTGCCATTGCCCAGCGGGCCACGACGGGTCTGCCATACTAACTTGAACTCAATTGTTGACCGATGGAACGTGAGTACCAATACTGGTAGTAGTAAGGATTTGAATCCATCCGATGGCGTTAAAAGTAGCTGTACATACCTTCCGATGTAGACCTGCAAGGTCACTGGAGGTCACGGCGATGACAGAGTGAAAAAAAAAAAATGTCCGAGGTTTATACTATGGTGATAATCACCGTGTGCCAAATGGTGTAGTCATTGATCACGATTGCAGGCTGGAGCCGGCTAAGGTTGGTAAAGACTACCATACTGTGCCAGACCCAATGCAGATGCTACTGAATCTTTAGTCGTTTCCTGCCTCGAGTTCAATTTCACTTACCTCACTTAACTTCCTGCCACAATGTGCCATGGCGGCAGCTAGATATGAACAGTGCTGGAAAATTTGAAATTCATGTCGCTTACCTACTAGGAGGTGTTTTGGGGGCCCAAAATGGACTAGAGTAACAACATGAGGCTATTGAATGGTTCCCAAATAGCGCCGCGATCAAGCTCCGAAATTAACCAGCGCTCTGCAATTTCATTCCCATGATGTAGTATGTGTTCTCCATGATAGAACTGCATATTATATTTTAGGGTACTGGATGTAATAATTTTTCAGAACGATGTCCTTTTCCAGGCAATGTGCAAGAACTTTGATGCTGACATGGAAAAACCTATTTTCTGCCGTAGTGGTCCATAGAAGCGACATTAATATTGGAAGTCGTCCGAGTTGAGTCAGGACGTAAGTAGGGCCTCGCCACCACCGGCGTAGTGATGTCTCGACTGCCCATCTTTCAAGTTCCAGAGTTAGCCAAAGTGTCATGAACTGCCACTGTGACTCAACTCACCGTCGGACCGATTCCGGATAAATCATGACCAATGACCTGGTGTTGAATTTCATCGGGACGACTCGAGGCCTCCCGGAAGTCTATTAGTACTACAACTAGCAGTAAAACAATGACTCTATGATACCACGGTGACTGTACTGAGATTTCTAGTTGACACAGCGGCATTGATCCACCGTGAGTGCACTCAGGCCCGTACCATCACACTGCCAACTTCAAGTTGACTCGGAATGGCACGCTGAGTGTGGCACGGCGGCTGCCAGGGCCAATATGGTATATATATTCAAGTTGAGCCAACGGCTCGGAACCTGGACTCCTCGGCGGAGAACTTGAACTTGACTCAGCCTCAGGTGCAGGCGTTCGCGTGACCACTGACAAGGACTCGGACTGGGCGCAACGTCGTGAACAGATGCAGCCGTGGGGTCCTGAGGTACTAGTATTGTTCCAGATCAGGTAACCTGCACTGGACGGCGTTGTGAGCAATTACATGTACAAGAAGAAGTTCTGAGGTTGCGCTCTCATATTTACCCTTTTGGATATTGATGCGGTTTCATATCTGAGTCAGGAGGCCCATCACACGGGCAGGGTAGGGGGCGGCACGATGCTGATAAGACGAGTCAGGTGCGACCAGTAAATTATTATAATAATATCCTTAACCTGATCAGATTGAACGACTCAGAGGGTGATAATTTCAGAGAAAACCGTATCTAGATAAAGTAAAGATGGATACGAACTTCGGCCCAGATCTGAGAAGACAACGATGACCAAATAAATCGAATGTTGTACTACATAATTCGACTTGTAAACACAAAATCATCAACGTGTTTCCCTGAAAGTCATGTGCCACAGTTTCTCTGTAAGTTGCCAATTGATGAGCTCAGCGCTCACTGTGTCCACGTCGCGTCACGCTATGGCGGGTGTACCTGCACCCTCCCATATGTAGTAACTAGTAGGGGTCGGCGTCAAGTCGGCGTTACCGAGTATACTTTGCTTTGTTCAGTATAGATTCGAGGCCGTATCAGTTTCGATCATTCGTCTGTACTACTAGTAGACGATCGTTTACGAGTTTTAACAATTTACCGTTTTATCACGATCCTTCAATTGTACAACTCTTGATTCGAGCATACCGCACCAGCCTGACTGAGATTGACTTGATGCCAACGCACAAAGCAAGCACAAAGTGATCAAGACCCTGACTTGGTGGGCGCGGCCAGGTTGTGCGGTGCCACTATATAGTACAGGGGAGTTTCCGACGTCGGTATCTGTCTCGCTTTCGCATGGTTTATGCAAGACGCTTTTTTTCGTAACGAAGATCATGCCGCGGAATTCAATCAATGGGGGCTACATACTACTACAGAGAGAGGGGGGAAGCGCACAATGTGAAGACGTCCAATAAAAAGTATGTTGACGATCAGAAGGCATCATAATATGGTACAATCCGTGCTTTACTGCCCAACCTGTTATGCAAGATCAGTATTATAACTGACGGTGATTGATACGATAATTACACCAGGTGTTTCATCGGACTTGACGGAATCTTGCGACATTCTGCTAGTGTCTATGGACTCGGATTCACACCCGCTGCCGCATTGATCTTCCGAGTCATCTAAACTCATGAAGTCTAGTAAGCGATCTCCATCGACGCAATCGTTAACAAGGGAGTGGGCCATACCCTCAACGAGATCAAGCTGTTTGTCTCCAACGGCGAGCGACGTTATGTCAGGGTTGTATACGGCCGTGCACTGGAGGCGCTCATCGAGCTCATCCACGTTCCCTCTGGAGATCCCTTGGAGTGAGATGTCCCGAGGTTCTGATGCAGCGTTGACACGTGTGTCGGCGTCATCTTCAAGAACCATCTGAAGAAATCTTTTGTGTTCTTCGATGGCTTGGATTTCCCAAGCTGTTGTCAGAGCACGCATGCGCCTCCATTCAACATCGGCTCGTTTCGTGACGACGGCTTGCGCAATTGCCTTGGGAGACAGGGATTGCAATCGACTTTCGAGTAAAACTTTGCCCTGGCATGCTGTTGGATTATCAAGAAGTTGCGGGTATGCATCGGTTAACGTACCTTCTGAGTGTCCGGTAAAGTTCTAGAGTCAGTGGGGGAAAGTTGGCTTGCAGCGTAGCGGCGCTGTAGTGTGGTAGGGTCACGCCTCTCGTAGGGCTTGGGTTGTGCTTTCGCGGAATGTACATAACGAGACAGACTCCGGATTATGGGAGGAGGAGTTACAGGTGCATTTATGTCTTCATCGGATGAATCATAGGGACCGGCGTCAGATAATGACAGTGGTCTTGCACGGCGTTTGGTTGGTGAAGTGGCAGTACGATACGTACGACGAGTCGTGCTATTGGCAATAGCCAAGGAGCGATGGAAACCTTGTTCGTGGTCGTTCAGAGGGCCATTCGCTACGCCCTTGTTTGGCCCTTCATAGTCAAGACGAGAGTGTCTGAAGATGCTCTGAGGAGGAACTTGAACAGCGGCCATACCTTGTGGACTCTGGAGACAGTGACTCAGGCTGAGTTTGAAATCCAAATTTTTAGGATTTATAAATGAACAAAATAAATCTTATCAATAATGATAAATTATTATACTGACTCAGGTGATGGTTTACAAAAATGGGTTTTGGGTTTTTCCCTGATAAGACTACGATACTCCCGGGCTGCTGGGCCCTTGAACAAACTATAGAAAAGGTGCTCGAGCTATACTAGTAACTTCGTACGGCTCACGAGGAAGAACACTTGCTTGAGAGATTTGAGTTCGATCACTGGGTACATGCCGGTTTTGATGTACAGTGAAATCGGAAGTTGATTGATAAGGTAACCGCCTGTTGTGATGTGTATCAAAAAAGGGACAGCACTGTCTGAGTTGCACCTAGTTGGCACCACCGGTGAATCAGTAGTTTCCGAGTCCTATCTTGCGGATAGTATGAAGGACCGCATTGGACTAAAATGTTGACTCAGAAATTCACAGGTCACGTTGTAACTCAACTCAACAATTTGCAACTCAACTCGGTCACGTGGCAACTCAACACAACTCAACTCGGTCATCATGCAAGTGCAATCCAACTAACTCGTCGAACTTGACTCCATGCCCTCGTGCTTCAACCATAAATCTCGCAACATCAACATTTTCCACCCCATGATCTCCTTGAACACGACTTGGGAGACCATGGACGTGAACAATCTGTCGAAAAAGATTCATGACGGTGACTGCTCTATTGTTATTGTGTGGCCGGAGTCCAGTGATATAACGAGAATATCCATCAATGAAACCATGCACGACAATCTTCCACCGGATCAGACCTATAAAATCATGATGGTCTGATGTGCATCATAATAAAAATTAACATACCATGCTGTCCATCATGGTGTGTCAAGGAGTTGTACCCTTTTACATTGTAAACTCGGCGGGTAATGCGACGCACACCAAAGGCAGCAACAGGCGGACCATGAACACGAGAGTATGATGCTTGGATGCGAGAACGAGGCACAATGACCCCCATGTGGCGTAGCTGGCCATCTATCATGCGACGTCCAAAGCGGGGATACTGAGTGAGAATCTGCAACATGATGGCATCGAGCTCATCATCGGGGAGTGAAGATTGTGCTGCAGTAGATGATGTATAATATCGAAGTGTCTCGCCTTCATCATTAATGAACTCGACATAAACTGGATTCCCAGGTTCAACAATTTCATGTTCTAGTGCCCTCCGTCGCACAGTGCGCGGTGCTACACCCAATAGAGCACCAAGCCTCGTTGGTCCTGCAAATTGAAGGGCTGTAGCTAAAACCTCTGGGTCAATCTCAATTCGAGGACGTCCACGTCGACGAGTATGAACAGTGGAGACCACTTCAATAGGTGCCATGTCAGGTTCATCAGCTGACCGGTCTTTACCTTCATCAAGGTCCGCGATCATAGCATTCAAGCTATCATTCATGGTGATGTAAGTGGCCTCAGGGACTAAATCACGATGCTGAAATATCTTAGTAGTGTACTACAAGTGTTATGGTTGCGTGACTCACCAAAGTAATGTCATTTTTCGAATGTTCGCATGCTTCGACATGCAGTTGGAGTCGGGCAGCATCTCCGAGCTGTGTGAGTAGGGCAACCCGAACATCTTCTTTGAGCTGGTTGAATGCAAGTATGATGTTTTGCAGGGGAAGGGGAAGGCGTTCGAGTTCGAATGACCGGTCCTCCATGGTGGTTGAGGGCAAGGGTGTATTAGCAGGGACCTAGATAAGGTCACACAAGGGCAACAGTGCCAGAATAGGGTCAATCAGTCAATTCATGGAAGGAACGAGTACAAATGTAACACTGTATAGTATACAAGGTAAGGCAATAACTATGCAGGGAACCTGGCAGCTGCAGAGTACATGATAGCGGCATTTATAAGCACGTGCACAATAGGCATCATAGTGCCATTCGTAACGCATTTTCTAGTGACCCTGCGTTCGATCACTCAAATATGATACACGAGTAATCCTGGAAAAATTCAGGTCGTTATGAGCTTTTGACATTGCGTTCACACGGAAGCACGCTTACCTGAACTTATTAGATTGGTTGAAAGTGTCAGAACAAATAACGCCGGGATCCATTGTGCAGTCTGATTGGTGCAGTTGTTTCCACCAGTCGCCCAGGAAGCGTAGTAGGGCACGAGTATAGCAGCCACTTCGATAAAAAATCAGCACACAATTTCCCAGACACAGTAGCGACCCAACCTGAG